TTGTTTTCTGCGCGTGACTTATTTACTTATTTCTCATCCCTAAAAATAGATTACAACTAAGTTTATATAATGTCAATTACACGATTGAGTTGGAGATAAACTCAATTTGATTAGGTGAGGAGTTATGTGATCTTCGGCTTTGAATGATGATTTTATCTGCTCTAGATTTTCTACGCAACAAGTTTCAACAATGAGAGTAAAACCTTACAATGTATTTTATTATTCTTTTTCAAAAACAACAAATTAAGGTGGTATAGTAGCTCAACCATTTGAGCACATTTTATGGGGGACATGATGAGCATAGGATACCAAACATTATCTAAATGTCTAGTTTCTTCATCTCTTTGTTTCAATAATCATTTTGTAGAACAATTTTTGTTGACCAATACACCAAAAATTTAAATAAAAAAAGAAAGAAAGAAGAAAATGGTTGACCAACCTGGCTATAATAGGTTAGAGAGAGGACTATTTTTTTTTTTCCAACAATAAAAATAAATAAAATAAAAAATTGTATAGTGTGTCTTTGAAAGTGCTTTTGTGAAAAGCATTTTCAATTAAGAAAACTTTTTTTAAAAGCACTTGAAAATTACTCTTTCTAAAAATAACAAATTGCGTAATGCTTCTCTAAGACATACTTCAAATGGTTTTTTTTTTTTTTTTTTTTTTTTCTTTAATATAGGTCTGTTTTCTTAAAAAAATATATAAAATAAATATTCATGTATTTGTATTAAAAAAAACTCTATTAGTTGCATCTCAACCCACAAATTAAATTTTTTAATGATTTTTAGTAACATTTTATGAATAATTATTTTTTATTTTTTAGAGATTAAGAACCCTTGTGACAAAAAAATGCACTCTAAACTATGAGACTAAACCCTCTAATTATATCTTAAAAGGCATTAATTATTAATTAAGCTTTTAATTCATATATTCAAATTTCTTTTATGAAAGCAACTTTATACCTTTACCTAAGAAATGTGCCACATTTTTTCAAATTACAAATTTTCTTTTGATGTAAAAGGAATCTATCATCGTCTAGTAGAAGTTAGTGGAGATTCCAAAAATTTTAATTTAATTAAAAAAAAAAAAAAATGAAATACACTTTATACTATCATGATTTAATTTGTTGCACCGAATTAGCTCCTTGATGTGAGTAAAATTAAAGTCTTCTATGACATTTTGGCATATAATACTATTATAATATAATATAGGTTTTTAAAAAGGAAAGGAGGTGACATTCATAAGATTATCATCTCTTATTCTTCATCAACCTCTAATCTCAAACGCTATTTTCTACACTTTTCATAAATCCAATCTTTCTTTGTGCTATTTTACCGTTGTATTTAGTCCCAACTACTAAATCATCCTTTGACGATTGCTTTTGTACCAACTACTAAATCATCTTTTGACGATCTCTTCTGTGCCGATGCTATTGTGGGGCATGTTGATGGCAATATCATCGACACTATTTTCCAATAAAACACTACCATTTTTTAAAATTTATTTTACTCTATAATAAGGCTAGGGTTTTCTGTCGTTTATTTTGTTTTCATTAAAATTTATAATTAACCATTGATTTTCAATTTTTTTGGGTTTTTTTTAGTATATTGTACAACTTGTGTATATTTTTTTAGTTTCCAAAAAAAGTGACTCTTAATGAGATAGGTATGGATAAAATATTATTTGGTAATAGGAATAATTCTGGTGAAGGAAATTAATGAATATTTTCTCTTATCTATAAGGTACGGGCCCATAGTTTTAGGCCACCCCTCTCGCCCTATCCTAATAATATATAAATAGATTTTTTTTTTTTTTTTTTTTTCATCCAAACATAAATTGTTGATCTTAGGTTTGACTTATATGTGTAACTTCTAAAATAATAAGTCACTTATTCTCATTGTTTTTGGATTCCACTTTTCAGAAGTGAATTTATCGTAAATCGGTAAATTTTTGTTAAAATTTAAACTTATCAATTCACTTTCATCTATTGAAACGATCTAACTCAACTCGAGAGGAAGAATTAGTTATATTTATATCATTTATATTTGAAAAATGTTATACTTACGATATCTTTTTATAAATTTTCTCTCACAATCTTGATATAATAGTTTATAATTGGTCCCTTTGTAAAAAACCTCATCTAATAAATTGCGACTGATCAATTGTGAGTTAACACGTCGAGATTATAAGAAAAAATTTGTAAAAAGAGATTGTGGGTATATCATCGCTCACAATGTTTACATCAAATGAAATCCCATCAAAAATACAATTTTATTTGAAATAAAATAAAAAATTATTTAAATTTTATTAGATAAATATATATAAATACGACAATAAAGATGATGTAATATACTCGACCAGCGACGTTCGAGGAATTTTTCTACCATATGGACACGTAAGGGTGTTTCCTGACGAATTGAGGCAATAAGGGCATTCTTGTTTCCTTAAAATATCTTGTCTCAAGTCCCACGTGCTCAGACAGGGTGTTAAAATATGGTACAGCAATGAGTACAAATTTATTCCACAAAACAACAATCATGATTCATGTATCACATGAGATCCTGCAAACTTTTCAGACCAATTAGGAGATCCAATGGCTCAGATCACATGGATACACTTGATGGTGGATGGCCCCTTATCGCTTTCTATGAGGTCCACCACACATTAGTATTGTGTTTTTGTTTAATGGTATATTTGGTTGGTAAGGGCTATTAAGTGCCTTGGCCCACCGCTCATAATGGCAAGTGTTTTACACGCTCCGGAGTTGAAAAACAAGATATGGTCCTCATGAATTAGAGATTTGTATATTGGTTCCGCGGAGGCGCGGGAGGAGGGGGGATATATTCAGGAGTCTTAATTGACTGTAGTGGTTAGATTGATTCGATAATATTACAAAAACGATTTTATTGTTTGGGTTAATTTTGGATCGTCAAAATAGTTTAACAACTCTATTTTACATAAAATTTAAATATTATTTTTAAAGAAAAAAGATAACAAAAATTTTATACAAACACGTCAAAATAAAAGAAACATAGTCAATCTTCCACCCAAAATTTATGCCTACAAAATGGACAAGATTAAGAGTATTTAGACTTGACCCAAACTTGAAATTTGGTTTAAAGAACTTGTATTTAGGTTCAAGAACACAAATAATATGAACTTCAATTTCCTTATGATACAATTTGACCAAGTCTAAGTCCTCGTACAGGGTCAAGAGGAAAGAACAAAATTTTATTTTGTTGGTCAACTTACAATTCATGACAAGAAAGAAAAAAACGATTCACATCTAATCGAGAACATTATGGTCATATGTTGGCCAAACCAATATAATACCAACAAGTGTCGTGTTACAAAAGTATCGAGTCAATAACATTATCACGATGACCAATATTACTATTTCCATAATGAATTAGGATTTTTTTTATATATATATTTTTAGTTTAAAAGATATTATAATATTTTATTTAGGTAAAAATCAAATGAGGAAATGATCCTAATCACTTAGATCATAATACAAAATTGTAAAAATTTAAAAACCATGCATTAATTGAATTACTAAAAATCATGTAAACAAGAGTTGGCATTTATAGAATGACTTAATAATATTTTTGGCCTAAATGATAAAACCATGAGTAATGGTACCTACTAATCACACATTTTGGGATATGAATTTTTTTAAATTCACGTTGTAAATCTAATATTTAGTTAGTGTTTTTTGTGGGCATTTATTAAAATAAAAAACACAAATTTCATTTATCGACATCTGACTATTAGATAATCGACCTGAACTGATGATGTTAAAACAAAAAATTTCAATCATAGTTTCTCTTAACTCATAATATTTTCAAGATTTTTTTTATTTTTTCACAATTAGATAAAAAAAAATAGAAATAATTAATTATTACAATATTATGATATAACATCCAACTGTTAGCTTATCAGCCAACCAATAAACCTATAAACAATTCCTTAGAAACTCCTATTCATGAAACACATTGACTATTCCCATTTGAGGGTGTCTTACACGCGCCAAAGAAAGAGAGTGGGAATGGAATGAAATCCAAAGCTTAGGTTGTAAAATACAAAAGAAATAATAATAAAATAAAATCACTATCTATATTCTATAACGGATATAAAAATAATAATATTAATTATAATAATAAAATATAGAATATAATTACCCAACCTAACCGCTTAATCTCATAGTTGCTGTCCGAATAGTCTTCCCATTGAAGTAAAGTTAGTTGAAGTTGGCCAGCTTGAGTGAGAAAGTGGGCAACTCTGTCTTAATTATGAGTATGACCATTGTTTACCCAAAAGTTTGGATTTTTATCATTCACCTCCCTAAAAGATTTACTTCGTTTCGTTGGAGCCCTCCCCCGCCCCAACACAAAGTTTCACAAAATATTATAAACCCTTATAAACATTTGATTTAATTATTAGAAATCTTTATAAAGTTGAGATTTTAATTGATATGATTGTTGAGGTAGATGATGTAGTAAATAACATTACGAGGTGGCACCTATGGTACCTATTTATATGGCGAAAAGCTATGTAATTCTATGACACTAGTGTTGATTCAGATTTTTCTGATTCGACTAGTGTTTTAGTGCATGACCTTTCTGTGAGAATTAAGATCGAGGAAATAAAATTTTCAGAGTATTAACTCAAACCAATTGTTAAATTGTATTGTTTAAAAAATAAATGTACTTTTACATAACAACGAGTCTACCCTATAATTCCAAAGAGCCAAAGCTAACCCATTTCATTATGAATTGATGATCTTTAATGATACCATCTTTTCTGCGGTGTTAACATATAAGTTAGGATATGCGCGTGGAAATAATCATAAACCTCTTATTAGGGGGATCATATTACTTTTTAAAAATTATGGGTTCTGGAATACGGTGATTTTTTAGGGGGGTGGAAAGAATTCTCCCAAAAGACATTATTATAAATCCAACAAAAGTTAAAAGGACACAAAGAGAGAGAAGAAAAAAAAAAGAAAAGAAAAGATGGAAGTAAATTGATACAAGTAAGAAGCAAAATCAGAGTCAGAAGCCAATTCAAAGTAAAACAAAAACAAAGTAACCATTAACATAACATAAACTATTTGTTATGTAAAAGCTTTAGCATACAAAACCATAGAATTATCAAACCATGTTGTTTTGTAAAGGAGAGGGAGGAGGCTAAAGCAAAGAAACAAAGGAAGAAACAAAGAAGCACAGAGAAAAAGAAAGAAAGAGTCTTCTTTTGTTGGCTGGCTGCAGCCAGGCTGTTCAAGGCTTTCCTTTTTGTGGGAATTTCAGCTTTTTGAAGGCTCTTGTTTAGCAGAATTGGAAAATTTTGAGACTCATGAGGTAAATGATGAGTTTAATTTTTTATTTTTTCTTTATGAAGTTTCAATTTTTTGTTGGTTATTTTGTTTATGATGATGTTAGCTTTTGTGGGGTGTTTTGATTTTTGTGTTGTGGGTTTGGAGGAGATAACGTTTTTGTTCTGGTTTTTTAGCAGATGAAAAGGTTGGTTTTTTAACAAGTTTTTGATATCTTGGGTCCTTTTTGTCTTCAAATTGTCAGAATTTAAATCCTTTAAAATTTGATTCTCAGAACAATTTACTGTTTTCCTCCAAAATTAGAATTCTGGAACAGTACCACTTGTTTTGGGTGATTTTGTTTTCTGATAGAACCTTTTGTTCTCAAAGTACAATTTCCCTGTACAGTTTAAGTGTATCAAGCTTGTCAAAGGACTTGTTTTTCTATGTTTTCTTCCAGTAAACAAATGGGAATTTCACTTTCATGGGATTGTTTAACTTGACTCTTGTGATTTGGAAGCTTCTGTTCTGTTTGTGTAGTTTTGTTGATAAATTATTTTTTTGACCTCCAATTGTAAACCATATATAAACAACCAAGCTTGAGTTTGGCCTTATGCTTTTGATTGTGTCATTTCAAGACATGGCGGATACGGTTGTTCCATTTCGCAAACGTTGAGTACGATTAGAAGATTCCTCTGTTCTCTTCTTATCCTTTGTTTCCATGGAAGAGGGTTTTCTTTTGTTTTGTTCTCTGTGGTGGTGAGGGTGGTTGAGGATTAGCTTAGATCTGGGATTCGGCTTCCTTTTATTGTTCAATCTTGTAGTTGAATTTCGATGAGTTACATGTGGGAAGCGGTTGTTGGTGTTTTTGTATCTTGTTCATAGCTTTGTATGCCTGCTTGCCGAGTAAGACTTCTTGGACATAAGAGCTTCAGAAACAATGAGAAGCATGTGGTGTTTTGGTACTTTTTCATCTCTCTGGCTAATTACCTATAGCATGTTAAGTTTTGGGGTTCTTAGGACATTAAACTTGTTCCTATTATTTTGTTCTTTATGACATCTGTTAAGGTTAATATGATTTTCATGGGTGCTTCTGCTTGTATGTGATTTACCAGATGATAGCAGATTGTGATTCCAAACATTCACATGCTGCATATTATTCTTTTAGCTGCATACACTTAACTGTTTTGTTTATTTTCATATCCAGGTCGAAAGAGTAATGCTGGAAATATGGGAAAGAAAGGGAGTTGGTTTTCCGCAATCAAGAGGGTCTTTGTACCCCACTCCAAGGAGAAACTAGCCAATGTAAGTGATCCTAATTCTGGTGTGTGTTACGAAGCGGTTGATAGGAAGAGTGAATCTTTTTTGCTAAATCTTCTCTAATTCTTGATCTTACTGCAGGAATCAGATAAGAAAAGTACAAAAGAAAAGAAAAAGAAGGGTCTAGGAAAACTAAGGCATGGAGAAACCAATTCTTTCATTCCCCTATTCAGAGAACCGAGTAGTATTGAGAAAATTTTGGGAGATGCTGAAAGAGAGCATAGATTAGTATTTAGGCCTCCCACCCCACCTGAGCAACCTAGAACACCACCTTTTGTGCCTGCAAGAGTTGCTTCTCCGAGGGTTCCTTCTCAAAGGATTTCTTCTCCGAGGGTTGCTTCTCCTAGGGCTGCCTCTCCAAGGGCTCCTTCTCCAAGGGCTGCTTCGCCAAGAGCTGCTTCGCCTAGAATTATTCAGCAGCGTAGGGAAAGACCAGAACCAACTCTAAGATACCGTCATGCTTGCGCTACTAAGATTCAAGCAGCCTATAGAGGTTATACGGTAAGCTTCTACTTTCCCTTGTCCATTGGATCATATCAAGTGCAATAATTTCTGGGCTGGTTAGATTTATGATAAATGTAACATATATGTGTGCTACATTTCCTGAATATTCCCAGTACATACTTGTTGCTTGAGGAATCTGTTAATGAATCTCGATCAGATTGTTAATAAGTTTAGATCTTCAGGACAGCAGCATGCTCTGAATCTGTTGGACTAATGCCATCAATGCAATAACGTTGAACTTTTTTATACAGGCTAGGAGAAGCTTTAGAGCTCTGAAGGGTCTAGTGAGGCTGCAGGGAGTAGTGAGAGGACAGAATGTGAAGCGTCAAACAGCGAGTGCCATGAAATATATGCAGCTTTTGGTGAGGGTTCAATCTCAGATTCAGTCGAGGAGGATCCAAATGTTAGAAAACCAAGCACTACGTCAAGCTCAATACAGGAATGATAAGGAAACAGAAAGTACCTTGGGCAAATGGACCTTCAGCCAGGCAGTAAGTTCTCGATTCTTGAGTTGGATTGCTTCCCTGATTTCTACCTTTTAAGCAGCTACAATTTTTTTATTTTTTCTTATTTTTTTTGAAAACATAGCATTGCCTCATTTGGCACCATTGTTTTCTAATTATGGGAAATTTTATAGTGTTTTATGAATCCTCAATTCGGTCAAGGTATCAAAATCAATGGTGTTCCAGCTAAGCAAACAAACACAGATAAGGTCAATGAGTTTTCCAAAAATTGTGTAGGAGAGGACTTGCACTCGATCCAATTCGGTTTTTGTTTAAGAAAATCTGCCTTATTGTTCAAGGATGATAATCTAATTTTCAATATTCTTGTGTTACATTAAGCTTAATAAATGAAGTAGAATGCTCAAAGCACAGCCAAGTATCATGATCTGTCACATCTATATCCCAGTTAATGCCGTTTGGCTTTCTGAGGCACGGATATTTGTCAATGTCTTGAGGATTTGAGGGATGAATCAATTAGAGCTTAATAATCTTGGTTGGCTGTTGTTGTTTGAAAATTCTTTTTGATGTTTTATGTGATATATAAGTATCATTAATTGTTGGAAATATTTGAATAGTCTGAGGCAGGAAATGAAGACTGGGATGCTAGTGTGCTAACCAAAGAAGAAATGGAGGTAAGGATGCAGAGGAAGGTAGAGGCAGTCATCAAAAGAGAAAGAGCCATGGCCTATGCAAATTCCCGCCAGGTACTTTTCATTGAACTTTAGCCCAAACCAGCTTCAATTTTGTAAATTATGTTTTGTCTCGTAGTCAATCAGCCTTTAGATCCATGCTGTCGTGGACTGTGCACTGTTTCATCTGATTGGGCCTGTCCTTCATGTGGATGCCTCTTTGACTTGCTAAATCAATGATTTGTCTCATGTACTTCTCATTTGTATTCTCAATCTAGGTCTCAGATTCTAGGCCTAACACCTTAGTAGCTAGTTTATTGTCATGCTGAGCTTAACGCTTCATTTATCCTTGTTTTGTGGTTGTCTTTTTGCCAACAGTTGTGGAAAACCCCTCCTAAATCAGCTCAAACATCTGCCGGGGCATTCCCATGCTGGTGGAACTGGTTAGAACGTCAACTTCCTCGGGCTAATCCATCCGAAAATCAAACCATGAAGAGTTTTCAACTTACACCACCAAGGCCAATGACTGATCAGCACCTAAAACCAAGCCCTCAGCCGCAATCAAGCAGTCAAAATCGATATAGTTTCGGGTTTGACATGGATACTCCCACACCAAAATCTACAAAATCAACCATACTCCCGGCTACAAGATATGCTCGAAGTCCTGCTTTAGGTAAAGCCCCTCAAGGCAGCCCCAGCTTGTCAAAATATTCAAGAGCAAGAGGTAGTGGTGCTGCTTCTCCTTTCTACTTGCCGTTAAAAGATGACGATAGTCTCACAAGCTGCCCACCCTTTTCGGTTCCAAACTACATGACACCTACGGTTTCAGCAAAAGCAAAAGCGAGAGCTAACAGCAATCCGAAGGAGAGGCTTCCGGGGACTCCAAGCAGTGAATCACAAAGAAGGCTTTCATTTCCTTTGACACCAAACGTTGGATCATTCAAGTGGAAGAAAGGTTCCTTCTTCTCTAATAGCAAGGATTCTAGCTCCCAAAAGGCCTTAGATAAGAATCAGTCAATGCAATCTATAGGGGATTTGAGTGTGGATTCAACCGTTTCGATGCCTGCAACCGTTGGAAGGAAGCCGTTTAACCGATTTGTGTGATGATTTGTTTGTCATTTTTTTCCCTTTTAACTTCATGGTGTTCATTTGATTGAGTGTATGTGATATGTTGAGTTACAAAAATTACTAATGTAAGATAATAAAGAAACATAGGAGATGATATGCTTTGTATGTAACACGATTTGGGCTTTCTTAATGATATCATAACTGTTATTTTTTTCTGGATTTCTTTAATAATCTCAAGGGTCATACTACATTACTAGGATGTAAAGACCCCCGAGGGATTAGCCAAAAGCAAGACAGAAAAGCAAGGCCATGCTACAATACTGGGATGTAAAGACCCCATGAAGTGGTTCACTGGCGATTAACAGTTTCGTTACAAAGGAAACTAGATGAGACCAATTCTGGGTTTACTTTGAGACTAGATGAGACCAATTCTGGGTTTAATAAAGGATTAGGCTAGTTTAATTACTTTATAAGTGAAAATTATGCTTCTTGATTATATACTAGTTGAATGCCATCCCTTCCAATGTAGTGCCACACTAAAGACACGACATTACTCGGAAGTCTTGTGTTCAAGTCTCACAAAATAGTCAGTTATCACATTTATGACTTATCTAGTTCGTTAGACTTATAGCGTATTTAATGGACCCTGAAGATTAGTTGAGGTGTGAGTAAGCTGACTTGAACTTTATTCTCACTAATATAACAAAATTCTTCAAAGAATTAGGTTAAATTGTAGAGCTGGGCAAAAAACCTAGGCCCAAAAATCAGTCCCAAGACCGATCCCAAGCCTAGGCCTGGTTAATTTTAAAAACCCCCTAACAAATAACCAAAAACCCTCCTATGATATATGAAATAAATAATAATTTGGGGGTTAAAAAAAGTTTACAATCAGGCGAATAAACTAAAAATTTTTAAGCCCGTAAGACCGGTCCTAAATAGGTCAAGCCTAGGCTTGGGATCGATCCCAACCAATTAGTCCCAGTCCCTTAGGATTGGGCCCAAAGTGGGACGGGTCCTAGTTGGGCCCAGATTGGGATAGGTCCTAGTTGGGCCAAGGCTTGGGACCTTCGGGCCCAACTTTTGCCCACCTCTAGATGAAAGCTAACACAGCACAATACCGATTTTTCTTTAATGCTTATCTAAGACATTCTAGTTGGTCTCTAAAACAAAAAATGCTGCATGTCATACCATTGGCATTAGCCAAAATTTTAATTCACAGGGCATATTTCTTCTTGTATTTTTATTAAATATTTCATGATAATCTTATTAATATGATAATTTTATTGCATGTTAGTATCATATTGTGTATTTTTTGTTATGTATATAAATAATCATAATTCGTGTATGCCAGCTGATTCAGGGACGACCCAGGATTTAATGTTAGAGTGGGCAAATTTAGAATAAATAATATAGAACTTTTAATCAAAATAATGTTAGAGGGGCAAAGCAGTATTCTATTTACCCTTTTTAGTTTTAATTCTTTACTTGACTTTATTAACAAAGATAATATAAAAAATATTTGATTAATAAAATACTTAATCTTTTTAAACAAATATAAACTTATTTGTTTAATAATCAATAGAAAAAATTAGTTTTGTTTTTAGATCAGTGGGTTCAATTTGTAAAATAAATTATAAAACTAGAAAAAAGAGAGAGAGAGAAATAAAAAAAAAAAAAATTATTTTTTTCAGCGGGGTCAACAACCCCCACTCGCCCATAACATGAGTTCTTGCATTAATTGATTTACAAATTTTTGTGAGATCAAGAGTTGGTAAAAGATCATTGATGTAACGAGAAATATAATTGAACCTAATCAATTATTTAAAAAACATAAAACAATTCAATCTAAATTAATTTTCATCATCTTATTCCATAGAAATTCAATTATTAGAGTTATTTAAACACATCTCAATATAATTCCATTATCAATGAATTTGAATATAATAACTTTATATCTCAAATATAAGAAAACCAAGCATCACTTCTTATCTCAAAAAAAGAAAAAAATAAATAAATCAATCAACACAAACTAATTATATAAGAAACTTAAAACAATTCAATCAAAACTAATTTTCAACACCTTATTCCATAAATATATAATTACCCCAAGTTATTTAAACAAATCTCACTATAATTCATCATCAATGAAATATAATCTAATAGCTTCATATCTCGAATATAAGAAAATCAAATAGTACTTCATATCTCAAAAAAAGAAAAGAAAAAAAAAACCTAAACCAATTATATAAGAAACTTAAATCATTACTCAAAATATTTTTTTTTCTGGGTGAAAGACTCGAGATGTCCCCATACTCGAAGGTATGTGACTAATTTCTGATTCGGGCTTGGGTAAATACCCTGGCCACAAGTTGCTTCCGATGAAATTCAAAACCCCTAACATTATAGGTAAAGTTCGCCCACTGGTAGTCCAGTTGTCCTAAGCATCCAAGCTAGTTTGGTCTTGTCGAAAGAAAATAAGTAATACCCCCATATCAAAATTGACTTTCATGTGAAATGTTTTGTTTTAGAGTTAGAAATAGTGAATAACAAGAAAAGAGAATTTTTTTTTTCCAAAAAATGAAAGAAAAGTAGTTAAGGATTTCATTGTAACTTCAAAAGTATTTCGGTATATTGATAATATGCAATTTCAAGGGGCATTTTTTATTCGGAAAGGATACAGCAACCGAAGATAGTGCATTGAATTCATACACCGAATGACGTGACAAAATCCTGACTGTTGATTAATTTTAATTTAATATTAATCGACGGTCAGGATTTTATCACGTCATTCGGTGCATAAATTCGGTGCATTACTTCGGTGATTGTAGCATTACTCTTTTTATTTGTAAAAGGTTTTCAAAAACCTAAAGCACGGCCTAGCCCACTCTGTGGGCCACCCCTGAATTCTAGAGAAATATTTATTTGTTTTTTCATAAATGATTGATTGTTGTCTAACATTAATTATCTTGTGATATAAAGATAGGGATATTATCATAAGGTACCTTAAGGTTTGTGTTTATATCATGTGAAGAATAACTTTGGCAATTTTTATCAAAGATATCCCTTAGGGGGCGTTTGGTTTAAAGAATGTTGGATTACTAGAAAGTTAGATTACCTTGAAGATTATTAAGAATCTTTAGGAAAATGTGTTTAGTTAATTGGTGGGTATGTTATATTAATATGTTTGGTTGGGAGGAATAAATTGCTGGGTATGTTATTTAAATTACTGAATTGTCCTCTAATTAAATATTATTATTATATTATTTTTAAATATTGATTATTATTTGGATTATTATAATCCCATGCATTTAAAAACTTAGCAAAAACAACCCCATAATAAAAGTTTGAAAAATCAACAAAGCACCCCCACCAACCCAACCACTGCCAGTCGCTGGTAACCACCGTAGGTTGTCGGCAACCGGCAACCTAATTGCGCACGGAAGGCAGGAAATAGATATCTAGCTGAAAATGGCTAGACGTGATAGGTTTGGCTGTTAACGGCCACAGACGTTGCCGTTAATGGCCATCGATTTGGTCGTTGATAGCCAAATTAGATTTGGCCATCAACGGCAAGATCTGGCTGGAAATTTCCATATTGGAGCACGGTGGTCATTTTCGACCTTCCGTGTGCTGTTCCAACGGCGGCTGGCTGCGGTGGTGGTTATCGGCAGCATGCGGCGGTAGGTGGGTGGGGGTGGCGGCTTGGGTGGGCTGCAATTTGTTTTGAATTCAAGGGTAATTTTTTTTTTCAAAAAGTTAATTAATTGGGGTGAAATAGTAAAAGCCATATTCATGTAAGTAAATTCAAAAATAAGAGCATTATTGTCTTAAAATTTTATTAATAAGGGATAAAATTATTAAAAAAAAAAAAAAGATTACATTGATAATCTTAGAATACCTAAGAAAATGAAGGTAATCAAATTATTTCCAATATTACCGACAATAATTACTATTGGTATTTAAAGATTACCGAAATTTTATATTACTTGACAACCAAACGTAATAATCAAGAAATATAAGATGATATAACTTCAGTAATCTCACATTACTGCCAACTAAATGCCCTTTTAAAGGTTAAAGCTAGCAATGTGGTCTTACATAGATCTTAAATGTCATGGTTAGATTAGGGTTTTTGCTAATTAATTTGCATGAAGTTATATATTTTTATGTAATAATGATACTACTTAAAAAAATTCTCTTTTCTTTAATAGTAATTATCCACGTGTTATAGATATCCTACATAATTAAAAATAATGATACGCGGAGTGAATCAGACATGATTCGAATTCTTAATTAGAGTATATTAATTATTTAAGAGAGTAACGTTATTTTCAGTAATATAACAAAACTTTTGAAAGTATAATTAGCTGTCTTGTCGCTTGCATGTTTTATAATTTTTTTTTTTTCGAAAAATGATTTCAAAAACGTTTTAACCAAACACTATGTAGCATAATTAACCACCTAATTAACAATTAAATACTGCTTTTGCTTAAGAAAAATTAAAGACCTAAAAGTATGAAATTAAACCAAATAAGTTCTTTCTTGTAAAGGCTTCATGCTTCATGCATGGAACCAAAATATACGGAAATGAGTCGTAACAGTAACTTAATAAATTAAATTAGAGAAAAAAAAAATAAAAACGATTTTCATGAATTAAATTGTCCTACAAATATATCTACTCTAATTAACGATCACCAAGAAAATTTTGATCAATACTGATTTTTTCTTCTTCTTTTTTCTTTTTTGTAAGTCAAGGTGAGGTTGAATATGTTTTTGGATTGGCGTGCTGTCGTACTTCGGCGTGTAAAATATACTGCACGTTTTAAGATGTTGAAAAGAAATGAGATAATTAATCTCTCTTGAGAAGGATAGTGAGTACGCACATATGACAAGATGAACATTTTTAACATGTTTATGAACACATGTGATCTGTTTAATTTCTTGATAATATGCGTTCAATCTATTCCCATAAAATCAAATTACAACTTATGAATTATTAAAAAATTGTATCATAGATGAGTAATAGTTGTATCATAAACTAATATTTTTTTTAATTATCGAGAGTGTCCGGACTAGCTTTTGTACATCTTAACTAATCCTCCATGGTCTTGGAACTGTCAGCTAAGTAAAAACTCTAATGACTACCCCTATTAGTGTCTAGGGAGACATGACCATAGAAACTCATAAAATCTCCTTTTACTCTTTTACTATCAAGTTAT